TAATGAGCCCTGGTTTAAACAAAGATGCAGTTTGAAATCACATTATAGTTTAAACAAAAATTCTACGTAGTAATAGACCTTGAATAAATTATGTATTATTTTGCCCCAAGTTCTAAAAGAATAAATTGTAGCCTGACTTCTAAAGACACCAGGTCATATTGGGAATATTGCTGTTTTAATTTTGCTGCTTAATAATGAATGTGGTCTGTTTTAATATTTATGTTTTTTTGTCCATATCATTAATTTTCTTTCATCTCAAGGTATTATTATTGGTAGGCGATTGCTAATATATTAAGGAGAAGAGACTCGTTTTTAAGTAAATTTTTAATGTTCTTTGCTAAGTTTCTTTTCTCCCTCTTGTCCCCTTTCTATTTTTTATGGTTTACTGTGGAATCTTATCTTTTTTTTATGCTGTACTCCTCAAGTTGAAGGTCAGAGGCCATTTCATAATGCTCAAAAAGAAAACAGATTTCTGTTAAGAACTACTTTTATTTGCACCGAGATAATGGGGTCTCTGTCCATGTTACAAACAATGAGAATTCCTTGAGATGTTTAAAAGACACATTTATGAACACAGGACACATTGTTGGCTTTAAGTGTTGTTTTCCAGTTGTGAATGTTGAACAAGATAGCCAGAAGATCACATACCATTAGCATGATGAGTGCTAGGGAGACTTGTATTAAAGCATGGGAGCAGTCAGGGAAGAATGAGTGTCAGAAAAGAGGAATGATATGACCAAGGCTCCCTTTTGGAACCTGTAGGAGAGTTCTGGAATGCATCCAATAAAATGGGCATTTCACAGTGGTCAAAAGTCTCCTCTAGTGAAAGCATCTTCCCCTGAGCTAGAATGTATCAGCTATGGATATTTCTCTTGCTACCTTGTGATTATATTTCCTAGGATAAAACAGTAGGTCATCCCTGCCATAAATTCCTAAAATCACAGGAGTAGTAATGATCTTCAAAGTTGTTTCAGTTGCTAGTCTCCTTGCTAAATTGGATCCCATAATCATGGCCCAACAATTGTTTTATTGCATTCATAAAGTTTTAAAGATGAAAGTCTACCAGAGTCTCATTTTCTTAAGACTATAAAGCATTGTAGTTAAAGTCTTACTCCAGTTGACCCAGTCATGCCAGTGGTTAATTCAGATTTTTTTGTCTGTTTTCTGTTGAGGTATTGGTTGCCAATTCTTTCTTTCTTTAGGCCTACACTATTAATATTAAACCAGACTACCAAGACATGTAACCATTTAGTAACTTCAACTCCCAAATGAGGAATGGATTATTGATTTTTCTGGTAGAAAATAAAAGTTAAGACAGCTTCATTGAAATCGTATACCTTTTAGCCAGGCATGGTGGCTTATGTCTGTAATCCCAGGGACTTGAGAGGCTGAGGTGAAAGGACGGCTTGAGGCCAGGAGTTCAAGGCTATCCTGGACAACATAGCAAAACCCTATCTGTAAAATAAGAATCATCATCATAAATAACTTAGGCATGGTGGCATATGCCTGTAGTCTCAGCTTCTCAGGAGGCTGAGGCAGGAAATTGCCTGAATCCAGGAGTTTAAGGCTGCACTGAGCTATGATCACATCACTGCATTTCAGCCTGGGCAACAGAGTGAGACCCTGACTCTAAACAAATAAAAGAAAAACAAGGTCTTATTATTATTATTATTTTTAGAGACGGAGTCTCACACTGTCGCCCAAGCCGGAGTGCAGTGGCACAATCTCGGCTCACTGCAAGCTCCACCTCCCGGGTTCACGCCATTCTCCTGCCTCAACCTCCCAAGTAGCTGGGACTACAGGCGCCCGCCACTGCGCCCAGCTAATTTTTTGTATTTTTAGTAGAGACAAGATTTCACCATGTTCGCCAGGATGGTCTCAATCTCCTGACCTCGTGACCCACCTGCCTCGGCCTCCAGAAGTGCTGGGATTACAGGTGTGAGCCACCACACCCGGCCCTTTTCTTTTTTTCTTTTTCTTTTTCTTTCTTTTTTTTTTTTTGTTGAGATGGAGTCTCTTGCTCTGACTCCAGGCTGGAGTGCAGAGGAGCGATCTCGGCTCACTGCAACCTCTGTCTCCTGGATTCAAGTGATTCCCCTGCCTCAGCCTCCCAAGTAGCTGGGACTACTCGGCGTGTTCCACCATGCTTGGCTAATTTTTTGTATTTTAGTAGATATGGGGTTTCACCATGTTGGCCAGGATGGTCTCGATCTCCTGACCTCATGATCTGCCTACCTCAGCTTCCCGAAGTGTATAGTACCTTTTTTATAGGCTCTATGTTGACAACAAATCTTTGCTAATAGAGATATCACCCCTTGCCAATTTAAACAGTAGAGGTACATTATTTTCTTAATAGTTTTGATAATGATATTGAATTCATATCCCTCAATAAGGAAGAGTGTGGTTTGGTACAATCTGCAGGTATTGATTGTAAGTCCCAGCCATACCCAGGGCAAGTTATTTATTTTCCTTAAGCCTTTGCTTCTTAATATATAAAATGGGTATGATGACATTTACTTTATGTAATTATTTTGAGGAAGAAAGAAACTATATCCCTAAGATACCTAATAAGCCCTTGATAAATCATACCCTGGCTTTACCTCTTCTTCAATTCAATGGAAGGAGAAATATTCCTATTCCAAAGTGGTAGATTTTATTTATCTTGGCTGGTAGATGTTATGTTTAGGACACTGTTGAAATGCTGTTACTATCTCTTTGAAAGTATCTCCTGTTGTTTAGGATAAACACCTTTTTACTTTTCAACAGTTTAATATTATATTTAAATCATTGTGTTGTCTGTCCCATAAAGGCCAGGAGATACTTGAGACTGTCACTGATACAAAGTTCAAAACATTTTCTGTGACTTTATTCCATATTATTATGGGCTTTTTTTTTTTTTTTTTTTTGACCTTCCAAGATGATTTTATTTTCTTGATCTGTTTAAAAGGATATCATAGCTTCATTTTGAATTAAAACAATGAGATGGAGGCTGGGTGTGGTGGCTCATGCCTGTAATCCCCACACTTCAGGTGAGCAAGGTGGTTAAGATCGCTTGAGCCCAGGAATTTGAGATGAGCCTGGGCAGCATTGGGAAACCCTGTCTTTACAAAACATTAAAAATAAATTAGCCAGGTATGCTAGTGAGCACCTGTAGTCCCAGCTACTCGGGAGGCTAAGACCAGAGACTCAATCACTGGAGCCTGGGAGGTTGAGGCTGCAGTGAGCTGAGATTGTGCCACTGCACTCCAGCCAAGCGATAAAGCAAGACCCAGTCTCACAAAAAACAAAACGAAACACCAGACAACAACAAAACAAAACAATGAGATGGTTCATATTTTCTTCTGTCTCTTGCCCCTTTTGTTTCAGAAGCCCTTCCTAGGAATGTTCTTCTACCTCAAAGAGATAGTTTGGGATTGCTGAACAGCTCAATAATATTATAAGCTCACCATCAACTGTGTATTGCTCACAAAATGTCTGTATTCTGTACTGTGGTGGTAGATGAATGACATTTTGTTGAGACACCATAAATGTTAACACATATACTTTACATATTTCAATTGACTTTATGAAAAGCTTTAATTTGATCCTGAAAATGGGAAGGTGACGCATGAAATTGCTGAGTATAGACATATCAGGACCATCTAATCTATGGTAATTTGTTTATAGTAAACATCATAGGGGTGTCTTTCTGAACATTTTCTACTACAGGCATTTTAATACACTACACATTTGGAGCCACGGTTTCATTGCAGTGACTACACATCTTGGAAAAAAGTAACGCTTTACCTGAGACGTATTTATTGTCTACAGGACAATTTTTATGTAGTGTCATGACTATGATAGATAGTAAACAAACCAATAAAACTGACCTCCAGCAATTTACATGCACCTTTGTGAGGCTGGAGGAAAGAACCTTGGATTTATTATATACCTCTTTTTATTGCAAAGTTATAATTATATCGGTATAAGAGATAGTCACAGGGCCCTAAACAGAAAGTTGTTCAATATCAGCACAGTCAGATCGTGGAAGACTTCTGTCATTTCACAAGTGTTAAATCCTGTAAGTATACCTGGAAGAAAATTTAAATCTTTAGCCTTTGTTACCTATTCCATTGTTTGTTTTATTATTCATTCATGTTTCCTTCACCTGTCCGAAGAATTTGGGCTTCATGCAACTTTAAAAAGCAGAATATATGAAGAGCTTATTATAGAAGTGTTATTTATTAAATTCAGCTTTCCTCAGCATTTTCTTTTAAATCCTACTTTGGATTGTTATATCCAGATTCTTTGCTTTTTTCTTTCTTACTCTTGCTTTCTCAATCTTTCTGTCTCTCCCCCTCTCTGTCTCTTTATGTGTTCTCATACCCCAGCTATTTTATTTTAAGGTGAAAACCTGTTTTTTAGAATATTGTTATAGGAAAACAATTCAGTGATACATTTTAATGAGAGCTTTTAGGAGAGCTGAAAGATATTCAGAGGGATTCTGTTGGAGGACGTTAAGCAAGTGGACTTCATATTTATAGGTATCCCAATGCAGACTCTGCTACTTGATCTAGGTTTTGTGAACTAACGACTGAATGTCATCAAGCCTTAGCCTTCCCATCTGCTAAGTGAAAATAATCTGCTTCTTGTGGTTTTTATAACAGTCAATTGAGATAATGCAAGAAAGGCAGCTAGCTTAGCTTAGTAGCTGGCTCATAGTAGGCACTACAAAATGTTAGCTATGATATGTGATAAATGGATAATAACAATATGTTTTATCATCAATAAATGGTCTGCTAACATTCTAAAAACTATTTAAATGAAACATGCTTTCTCTTAATAAATGCGAGTATATTGGATTTAATCCTCTCCATAAAACTTAGTGTGCAGACCCTGTTTTTAAAATGCTCAGTCCACTTTAAAGAAACTATGTAACACATATTTTCATGTTTAAGTGTTAACGTGGCGACTGTATCAATGGATTATTTTCAGCAGACTGCATTGTCTCTCTTCTATAGTTCTTTCCTGTGAAACTTCCTAATATCACAAAGATGAAATACGAACATATGGCTGAAAGTAAGAAATCGGCAACAAGGTCCCACATTCGGAAGACTGCAGCTGGAAGTATTTTTTCCTTTGCTTCCATTTCATCAAGTTTAACTTGAGAAAATGTTTATGAATGTGAATTTATTTTTTAAATTATGCATAATTTTCATCTTAGTGCCACTACATGACTTTGAAACAGTTTTATGTAGCTGGCAGTTTTGGTAGTTTTATTATTGCAGACTGACCTGTAAGATTCGAGTTTTTCTTTTCCGTAGTTAAAACATGATCCCACATCTCAAAATTAGGCAGCTGGTGCTTGTTTGTAAACCAAGGAAGGAGGGCCTCCTCTATTATTTTTGCTCTACCAAACCTTTGCAAAGTTTTAATATCATCCCTGATGAAATATATTTTAAGTGTATGCTTTAGGTTAGGCCTTCTCATGCATATTATACTATTTAATTGTAGTATAATTATGCATATTATACTATTATACTATTTAATATGCATATTATACTATTTATATTATAAATAGTATTATACTATTTAATTGTTATGCATATTATACTATTTAATTGTTACAAGAATCTTGTGTGATAGGTATTATTTCTCTCATTTTTATAAAAGAGGACCCTGAGTTTCAGTTTAAATAACTATCCTACTATCACACAGTTGTTAAATAGCAAGGCTGGAATTCAGACCCATGTCCACCTGACTTCAAAACATATTCTCTTTCAGTTCCACCATGCTGTGCCTGTACTTTTAAGTGAAATATCATGAATATCCTGGATCAAAGAAGAATCTCTATATTGGAAGAAACACTTGACTTATTGAACAGAGTTTCAGATGAACATACCCATTTAAATGCATTTACATCTTGCTTAGAGGCAGTAGTTTCTGAGGGAACTGAAAATAAGCAATTAGATTTAATTCACTTGTAGGTGTACACCTAAGGCCATACCTACACCAGCTAAATAAATGGAGATTTTAGTATCTTTCACCAGGGAGCAGTAATATCTGTGTTGCCATTTTAGGAAATGTATAATCTTACAATATATTTCCATTTAAAACAGTATAGCAGATTAAATTCATTTCAGCACTGTATATCTCACATTTGACTATTTTATTGCAGTATTGTAATGACTTTATTTGCCTTAGTATAACATCTGAATCTTATAAAAAGGAACAGATGAGAAAATGACAACCAAATGCCATTTAAATCACCTTCATTTTGAAGAAATTACTGATTTTTTTAAATGTAGAAAATTATAAAGCAATATTTGAAGGTTAATAATGAGTATTATTGATAAGTCTTTGCATGTATGGGAAAATAAGTAAAATAAAAGATACTGTCACAAATTACTTTTTCAGGCTCAGCAGAAATAAAACCAGAATCCAAAGAGGGAATACTTTATTATTTATGTAATTAATAATTTTTATATGAAAAATAGTTATTTTGCTAGCTTTGTGATTAATTTATTGATTGCTAGTACCAATATTGTAGTTAATGTTCTACAAATATGCAATACATATTTAAGAGAGAAATGCAGTCTTGTTCATTTTTAGTTCTTTGGTGGATTAGATAATTAGGTATTCAGGATTATTTCTCCCCTTTCAATTGTATGAAACCTGAGGTGATAGATTTTATATTTGCTTCAGTTGTTGATTATTTTTATCTATAGCGAAATGTGTTAAATCCTTTTGGTTGCCATTGTTTTGATAATTATACATTTATAGTTTAAGAGTTCTCAAGTTTCTGAATCCATATTCTTAACTGAAATATTGACAGTTGTCCCTTGAATAATGCAAGTTTGAACTGCATGGGTTCCAGGATTTTTTCAAGAAATTCAATTGGCCCCTCCCTATCAATGAGTTCCCTATCCACAGCCAAATGTGGACTGAAAATATAGCATTCATGGGATGGCTGACTTTTTGTATCCACAGGTTCTTCAGGGCCTACTGTGGGACTTGAATGTGTACGGATTTTGGTATCCTGCAAGAGGTCCTGGAACGTATCCCCCATGGAAACAAAGGGATAATTATTGAGATAATTATAAATTCACATGCAGTTGTAAGAAATAGTCCAAGGAGATTCCTTATACACTTTGCCAAGTTCCCAATAATGGTTGTCATTTTGTAAAACTGTGGTATAATATCACAACCAAGATTGTGACATTGTTACCACATACCTATCTTATTCCAATTTTTTCAGTTTTGCTTATACTTGTTTGTCTATAAGTGTGTGTGAATGTATGTGCATATTGAATCCGTAATTTTAAAAATAACTTCCTGTTCTTGGGAAGTCAAGGCAGGTCATCAGGTCATCACGTTGTTACTAGTATCCAAAAAGATGTTTACTTGCTGTTTAAAGTGAACACTGAAATGCATAATTAAAGGCAGTACAAGATCTTAGTGATATTAATAGACTGTTTACTTTGATTTGCATTTCCATGATGAGAAGTTAAATTAAAATCTCCTGGATTAAAGCCCTCTGAAGAATTTACCTCTATGTCCTTTTAAGAGAAGGGAAATACAAGGCCGGACGTGGTGGCTCACTCCTGTAATCCTAGCATTTTGGGAGGCCAAGGCGGGTGGATGGCTTGAGTCTAGGAGTTCGAGGCCAGCCTGGGCAACACAGTGAAACTCGATCTCTATGGAAGATACAAAAATTAGCCTAGCTTGGTGGCCCATACCTGTGGTCCTAGCTACTCAGGAGGCTGAGGCGGGAGGATCACTTGAGCCCAGAAGGCAGAGGTGACAGTGAGCCCATCGTAACATAGAATCATAAATTTAGTAGCCCAGGGGAATTTAATGATATGGGCTTTTCCTGACTCAACATGGATTACGTAAAATCAAATCTCTTTTTAAAAATCATTTCCTTATTTCTATATTTGTAAGAAATTAAACCAATTGGAAGAGTATAAAAAGGAGCTTTAGTTTTCTGATTTTTAAGTGACATATCTTTTCTTTCATTTATTAGTTTCATGTCATCTTATCCTATATAATTTTAAGTCATCCTATATAGTTTTGCAAATACGATCTTTCCTCCTTTTAACCCTCCATTCCTTCCTTCTTTTGTGTATTCAAGTAGTATTTATTAAATCCTTCACTTTATTCCAGGCATAATACCACATTTTAGGAACAACTTATGATTAGACATGATGTTTTCCTTTATGAACCACATAACTTGGGTATAGTTGGACAGACCTTAACAGAGACATTAGTCAGGCATGCACACACACATCCATGCACATGCATGCTACAGTGCGGTAGATATTCTGATAGATGTTAGTGGGAAGGTAAATGGAAGACATGAACAATTCTAACTGAAGGTGGCTGCTTATCAAAAGGCATGTTGGAGGCCTGCCTCTTGATGTCAGTTTGCTGATACTATACACACTATTTCCATATTGAGTTATAAAACTAGGAGTCTTTAGTTTTCTCAAATTAGTAAAATGCTGAAATAAAATAAAATATTACAAAATAAGTTTCTTAATAATAGGATCACAAAAGCCTTAGTAGAAAGAACAATTTAGAGAATGGTCAATTCTAGTATGGGTGTTAGAATATTTATAAAATAAATGAAGAGTTGTCACCTTCATTTCATACAGTAGAATATATTTACGACTAACAGGATTCTACATGAGGTCAGGTGGGCATTGCTATGATTTGTAATTGGAGTCTTCTTTACCCTCCCCTAATGATGTTGGCTTTCTCTTCCCTTGTAATTGATTGCATGTTTGTAAATTAATTTCTCTTAAGTGCTATAGAATTTATTCTATTAAGGAGTGTCATTTCAAATCTTGTTTATATTATTCTCTTGCTCCTACCTCCTGTCTTAAACTTCAGCTCTGGCCCTGCCACCTTGATAATAATTTCATATAACAAAGCTGAAACTGAAAAGGTTTTACTGTAATTTGATGTTCTGAAGAAAAGGCGGTCTAATGGTTCATGTAGCTGTGATTAAATATAAAGGTGGAAGTGTTTGCTTCTTCATGGACACAAGTTGAGTTTGCAGTATTGATTTAATAATCTTCAGCTCAGCAAAATTACTTAAGAAAAGTGATCCCCCAAATGCAAGATGATTACAGGGCCAAAAGCAAAGGTGATGTTCATTACATGTTTGTTCAGCAAATGAATAAATAAACGGAGTGGTGAGAACTAAATTCCACATGTTCGTACACAGCTTATTCGTGGAACCATCTTTTTTATATATCATGGCTTAGTAATAAGTAATGGCAAATACGTTCATTGTGTAGTAGCCTTGATTTGCTTTTACTTTGTTGGCTTTGATAAGTCAAAAGTGTGGATTAATAAGTTACATTAAAAATGTTATTTTTTTCCTGAGTGTATGCTTTATTTAGGTTTAACATCCTTGGTTTAGAAACTGAAATTATTAGAATGACAAAAATCACAATGATGATAACAATAATATCTGCATTTTCACAGGATTCTAAGGAATAACCTTTGATTTTGATAGAGATATTTGTAAGTGTGAGGAGCTATAGTAATTAATATTTTTGAAAAATAGTGGAGGAAATGCCTGTTTATATTTGAAACACTGCCAATTTTCCCATCAAGAAATTAGGATTGTCCCTGACTTTTTAATGTAATTGTCCATTATATATTTAGTCATTGTTATTTGGTGTATCAGTGTTTGTTCAGAACTTCTATTTTTTTCCTAGTAGCCATCTCTCATGTAAGTGGGTGACTGTTGCTATTCCATAATCTTGATCAACTCTTCTCTCCCACATTGCCACTTATCTAATTGCATTAATTTTATTCAAAGTTTTCTATTGAGTTAAAAAGAAAAAGGAGGTAATATATAAATCTACACTAAATAACTTAGAAATTATAAGGACTATATTCTCAAAAAATTAAGATTGTGCTAATTAATAAAGATGCTGTTCCTTCCATTTTGGTGGCTTACCATGGCAGTAGTTTATTTCTTAATTGCTCCTCCTAAGTCTGTTGTGAAAGTGAGACCACATAGAGTGGCACCCAAGATGGCCGAATAGGAACAGCTCCAACCTCCAACTCTCAGCATGAGCAACACAGAAGATGGGTGATTTCTGCATTTG